CGTGACGCAGCTTCAAAAATTCGTTTCAAACAGGAAGTACAAATTTGCTTGAAATAACGCAAAAACAACCAATTTACACTTTTTAGTGAAATATAGGTGTCCTAATAGTGTTTTTAGCAGTGTGGGACACATATACGACTGTCAACAGCTCAAAAAATGTGTTTTGGTGTTTCGTGACCCTTTAAAACTTGGTAGAGAAGTAGGTTTGAATTGAGTGCCTCATGTGAATTGCCTGGCAGAGGTGATGTCAATATGAATTGTCAATCGGTTGTTGTTGTTGTTGTTATTTATTTATTTTTATTTATTTTTTTAACTATGTTCGTTCAGCTCTTTAAAAAGCAGGCTGTGTTGCCACACACTGTGCGGTTTTCACATGCATCAGTCAATTCACGATGCAGCATTTACAAGTGTACTTCTCAGTACCAGCATTACAGGATCTGTATGTTTTATGAATATGGTTTTGCTAGTTTCAGCATTAACCATTCTGTGTTTTTGACTTTTCTTTACTATAGGAGTCTCTGTGACATCAAGCAACACGGGAGTCCCTGATATTTCAGGCTCTGTTTACACAAAGACGCAGGTGAGCAGTTGCATTGAACACTGCTTTATTAAGCTGTAGCCAGCGGTTTGGTTGTTGTTAATTCTCCAGTGTTGATCCTCCCTCCGCAGTCTTTTGAGAAGCAGGGTTTCCACACAGGAACCCCCAGCGCTTCCTTCAGTTTGCCGTCGGCTCTCGGCAGCGCAGGCCCCATCAACCCTCCTGCTGCAGCGGGTTACGCTCCCGCTCCATACATGCACATCCTGACGCCGCATCAGCAGCCACACTCACAGATGCTCCACCACCATCTGCAGCAGGACGGACAGGTCAGCTATCTCATTAGTCTAAAAGGTTTTAATTAAACAGTTTTATTTAATACTACTTGTTGTATTAATAGTAGTTTTAAAGGGACAGTTCACCCAATAATTGTTTGTTCTTCCTCATGTGGGTTTAAATGTTTGAGGTTCCTCTGTTGAACAGTAGATATTTTGATGAATGCTGGTTGCTGGCACCCATCAACTTGAAGTCAGTGTGCCCCAGGTACCAGCATTCTTCAAAAGCTATTTGAGTTTTTTTGTTTGTTTGTTTTTCCCTCGTATTAAATGAGAATTTCAATTATTTATTTTTGAATCTCTTTTAAATATTGAATTACATTATTAAATAAGTTTATATTCGTAACTAATAATAATAGTTGTTGTTGTTGTTATTACTATTACTATTATTTAGGTATAATTATAATTATTATTATTATTTTATTATTATTATTATTATTATTACTACTACTATTTGGATGTTATTGGTGTTGTTGTTGTTGGTTATTGGTGTTGTTGTTGGTAATGATGATTTTGGTGTTGTACCAATCATAATACCAATAATAATAATTATTATTAGGTGTTATTATTATTATTATTATTATTAATATTGGAATTATTATTGTTATTACTACTATTATGGTGGTGGTGGTGGTGGTGGTGGTTGTTGTTGTTGTTGTTGTTGTTGTTGTTGTTATCGGTACAACAACAACACAATCATAATAGTTGTAATAATAATAATAATAATGATAATAGTACTATTATTTTGGTGGTTGTTATTACTATTATTGGTAATATTATGGTGATTGTTGTTGAGCCAATAATAAAACCAACACCACAATCATAATAGTAATAATAATATTACTATTATGTGTTATTGTTTATTATTATTCTAAATATTATTATTATTATTGGTATTATTAATATTGTTGTTGCTATTATTATTATTGTTACCAATTATATTTCCCTATTACAAAACAAAGGCCAGTGTTATGGCTTATATTTTTAAGTGAGTTTGTTTTGTTGTATTACGATTGTATTTATTATTAATATGTTTTATTATTTTTATTATTATTATATTTCTTCCTTTCAAATCAAAGCTTCTAAGATGATCGAGTAGGTCGAACAGTAGGTTTGAAATGTTTATGAATAAGAATTGGTATGAATAGTTTATACACAAACACGCGTATTAGTATATATATAAATTTGTGTATATTAAAAAAAATATATATATTTTATTATTAAATTTTTTTTCTTCGCCAGTCAGACCTGACTACTGTTTTAAGAAAAAAACTGTTTTGCAGTCATGTTTGATTTGAAAAGTTTTTATTTTCTTTCCTCAGAGTGGCTCTGGACAGCGCAGTCAGAACGCCTCCATTCAACAGAAGTCCCAGATCAACAAATCTGGATACAACAGCTACAACTGGGGAGGCAATTAACACCCCGATCCTGTCCGGCTCTGTCTGCAGTTCCAAAGGCTGGATCAGTGGAAGTTTTCTTTTCTCCCCCAGATGATCTCCTATTCTTTTCCCCCTCAATCCTCCACGGCGCCCCTCTCCTCTCTCTCTCCCCGTCTGCTTGGTCACCCTGCAGTTCCAGCCTCAGTCCTCAGGTGGTGCTGTTCCGAGAGAGATGCAGCACTGTAAGCGCCGCCACACCAGGATGAGACCAGGGGGAGACATCTGAACGCCAATATATGGATAGTTACTTAGGCCTTCATGATGGGAGTATTGAGTATTCAAAGTTTGTATTGTTCAAAATGCATAAAAAGCCCTTGAATCCCCCCCCCCCCCACCCCTCCTTTAATTTTACTTTCATTCTGTAACATAGAAGTTTTCTAAAAGGACAGATGTTTAGGTGTTTTTGTTTTTTTCCCTCCTCTTTTTTTCATTTGCTGACGGATAAAATGAAAAAGAGAGGTTTGATTAAGAAAGGGAGGGCAGGATTGAGTTTGTTTTCCCTCAAAGAGTTGATTATTTTCCTGCTTTCTCTTTCTTTGCTTGATCTGCAGTCCTCTGTTCTCCCCTGCTATATGTTTTTACCAAATTTTATTTTGGGCAAAAAGGATGATATCACTCTAAATCGGCTAGTTGCAGTTGTGAAGTTTATTTTTTACCAAATATAAATAGATATATGGAGATAACAAAAAAAAATCAAAGTGTATAGGTGAGTTGACAGGCTTTGGATCTGTATTGCGTGTGTATGTGCATGTGCGTTTGGGTTTATTTTCTATCTGAGCGAATGGATGAGTGGCATCGTCAGGGTGGCCAGTGTATGAATGTTGTGCTTCTAGACTAGGCTTCAATGCGTATTCATTTTAATTCCTTTATTGGAGCCTTACTGTACTCTCTGGATGTGAGAAGTGCACTGGTCACCTTATACTTCAGATTGTTATTATTTTCCTTCCGCAGACTGATTTATTAACCGCACTTCCTGTTGCAGGGAGACTGGATTGCGTTCGGGCATGACTTTTGACCTCGTTGTTTTGCCATAAGCGTGACGTTTCTCTCATTTGCTTTGGGATTAAGAGGTCACCCCGTGTGTGTTTTTTGTTTTGGGCCACCCTGTGTTTTCTCTGTCCTCCTTTCTGACCTGCAGTCTTTCTCCTCCCGTCTGTCCCCCAAATATATTCTTTTAGTAATCTGATTATTAGGAAAGTGCTGATGGACAGAATTGTACTATGGGTATTTTCTTTTTGTTTGTTTTTTTTTTCTTTGTCAGTGACTTTCTTTTTGTACTGTGCGTTTTAAAAAGATTTAAATGGATAAACTTGTCTTGTACATATATATATATATATAAAAAACACAAGTACTGTAGTCTGTTTGTTTGATGGCTTCTTTTCTCCCCTCTCGAATCCCTACACAGACTTGTTAGCATTTCGTTTTGTTTCATAATGTTTTTTTATTTTGTAAAAAATATATATATAAATATTAAGTAAATAAACAAGAAAAAGACATTTTCATCATTTTTTTGGGATGTGAATGTCTTTTTTAAGAAAACCGAAGTTTGTGTGCCTCTTTAACTGCAGTCTGCTTCTTTGTTCAGGTTGATCACGTCAAGTGTTGCTTTGCAAATGTACATTCACATCTTATTTTTTAAATCTAATACAAGGAGCCCTGTTGCCTTGGGGTTTAAAATGTATTGGTTTCTCAATTTATTATGTAAAAATAGGACTGAAATGATAGTTAAGTGTCTGAATACAAATCTTACCACAGTTGCTGGATGTAGAATATATTTAAATAATTTGGTTTACGATGCATATGTAGATTACCTAAATATCTAATCCAATACTAGATTACAGATAAAGTAAGGTAGATTTAAATTTTTGATGTGCTTTTTATTTAACTTTTTAACTTGCCAACAATATAAAACCTCTTTATTTAAAAATACATATTTTTTACTTAACACAGTAATTTAATAGAATTTATTCAAAGATATTACTTTTAAACTTGATGAATTAAAATTAAGCAATTTTAAAATCTTCATGAATGTTTAAACTTGCACATTTTGATAGTATAAGTCCTTTATTTCTCCCATACATATCCTACATAACATAAATATAGTCTGTTTTTCTGTTGAACACAGATATTTAAGAATATTAGAAATAGGTAGCTACTTACCTCTATAGAAGGGGAAAATAAATAAATAACTATAAAAGTCAACGGCTACTTGTTTCCAGCATTCTTGTTATTTACAGTAGAAACAAACTAACCGGTCTGAAACAAATTAAACACTTTTTTTTTTTTTTTTTTTTTTTTTTTTTTTTTTTACAAATAGTTATAGAAATAGTTTAGATTTTTTTTACAGCGTATAACCATGATGACATTACCTTGTTGGTAACGTTTGGTTATTTGTGAACTATCGAAAGTTTAGTATATACTTTTAATTTCAAAATGCAGCCGATAAACTTCCGGTAAAACGTGTATGTAATCGTTTTAAATTTCATAAGGTTCATTTTACAGTATCGATACTTTATGTAACTAAATATAATCCAACTTAATTGACTTAAGCATTTGTTTAGAAAGAAAGCGTTAAAAGATAACAGACGCAAGAAGGAACACATCATGCCGTGTGGGACTTTAATTTTGAAACTTGTGCGGAAGCAGGTGGAAAGCTCTAGTAGGTTTCCTCACTGTTCTTCCTGCGCTAATCTCTGATGCAACTCTGTTTGTTATGGTGGCATTTTGTGAAGGTCTCAGGATTCTGTCCATAAATGAGCGTTTTTGATCTGTTTCGTGGGTTTTTCGGGGTTCCCGGAGGTCATTATCGAGAAGATGGCCGCAGGTGAGTTTGTCAAATTGTTAAAATAAGTTCAAACGTCACCTGACAGCTGCTGCTGTTAAACAGATAATGTTTAAATATATAACCACGTGTATTTTGTGTTGTTCTGTGCGTTATGTACTTAATTTATATTTTATCTGCAAATATTACGGTTTGTAACTTGTGAATTGCATCCTTTGTGTTAAGTTAATAGCATAATGGTTAAAGCAAAACGATGATCGTTTAAATGGTAATCTTGTGTGTAGAAGTTATGTAATCTAATATAATTCATCTCGCTTTCTTGAGGTTTTTGTATCGTTAATGGTTTTAATACAAGTAACATTTAAACATTTTTAAATAAACAAAAGCGTTTATATATTGAAATTAAATTATGTTCGTGTCATTATAAGTTTTAATATATATGTTAGATAGACAATAACTTTGCAAGTACACAGATTATTTGGTCCAGTTTTATTTTCGAGTAAGTAACAGCTGAGATGTAGAGATGTGAAGCCATATGGAACATTCTTTCACTTTTATTTTGACACACCAGAACATGAAATGGTAAACACCGTGTTGCTCCTTGAAACATTAACACACACCTCTTCATAAGTACTTTAATTAAATGAGACTTAATTATTGCGGTTTCACATTTTAAAGTAGTAATAAGTATGAAAAATTCAGCAACAGATGACATCAGAATATCCTAATATAAAGAGAAGAAATATGAAAGAAAAGATAAAAGAATATTAATTTTCTTTTCGGCTTAGTCCCTTTAGTAATCAGTGGTCACCACAGCCGAATAAACCGCCAACTCATCCAGCATATGTTGTACGCAGCGGATGACCTTCCAGCTGCAATCCAACTCTGGGAAGCACGCATACACTATGGCCAATTTAGCTTCAATTCACCTGTTCCACATGTCTTTGGAATATGGGGGAAACCCACGCCAACACAGGGAGAACATGCAAACTCCACACAGAAATGCCAACTGACCCAGCCGAGACTCTGCGACCTTCCTGCTGTGAGGCGATCTTGCTACCCACTGCACCACCGTGATGCCCTGTACAAATATGTACACTGGATGTAGTTTTATGAACCCCCCCACCCAAAAAAAAAGCAGAGCAACAGAATATAAGCAGCATATTTTTTGACCCAAGAATATTTATCTTAAAATCATGCTTAGACTTGCATGCTAAAATGTTATATTTGTTAAATAAACATTCATAATTTTTAGTAATAATTAAGATATTTTCATTACCTGTCACTTGATGTTACACTTATCTTTATTTTCTTTAATTAACTATTATTGTTTTTACACCAAACCTAGATTAAATATATTTTAAACTATACAAAGGGTTTTTAATGGTGGTTAAAAATCCAACGGCACTTTGCATATAACTGTAAGCACTTTTGGTGTAATGGTAATCAACATAAATAATGATTTTTTTTCTTTTAAATGTAGACCTTGTTGGCATAAATAATATTAATTTGTCCTATATTGCGCCAGATTAATCAGCTACAGTGATGTTTAGTTTAGAGTGGTCTGACAATTTGAATCATGGTTTTTTTTAATACAGGGACCCCTTCTTTGATGGAATGATTCATGAAGATGATGATGATGAAGACGAGGATGACTTTAACAGACCCCATCGGGATCCGTTTGACGATGCCTTCAGGTTTGGATTCAGTTTCGGTCCAGGCGGGGCACGCTTTGAAGAGCCTCAGATGTTCGGCCAGATCTTCAGAGACATGGAGGAGATGTTTGCTGGTCTGGGACGCTTTGATGAGCGACATGGATTTGGACCGAGAGGTGTGTCTCTTTGCTCTGTCCCTTTTCAATTTAACATTTTGAATGACCAATTATAGTTAATTTATAAACAATAAGGTGACATGGGTGAGCAGTGGATAGCATGATCGCCTCACAGCAAGAAGGTCGCTGGTTTGAGCCTCGGCTGGGCATTTCTGTGTGGAGCTTGCATGTTTTCCCTGTGTTCACGTGGGTTTCCTCTGGGTGCGCCGGTTTCTCCCACAGTCCAAAGTGTGCTGTAGGTAGTCTAAATTGGCCATAATGTATGTGTGTGAATGTGTATGGGTGTTTCCCAGTGATGGGTTGCAGCTGGAAGGGCATCTGTTGCGTAAAACATATGCTGGATAAGTTGGCGGTTCACACCGCTGTGTTGACCCCTGATGAAAAAAGGGGCTAAGCCGAAAAGAAAATAAATGACTGACTGAATGAATGAAGATGTTATAATAATAAAGAATACTTATGAGAAGAGCAACATGAGTGTTGACATTACAAAGTATTCAATTTCTTTCCTTTTTTGGTACTAAATGACCCCAAATTACTGAAAAAATACCCCAAGATAAAAATTTCTAAACTGTCCATACCTTAGCCGAATACACAATGACAGGCTTGTCATAATTTTACAAATTGTCTTACAATGTCAGAACAGGGTAATAATTTACAGTTTGTTGTGAAATAAGCTAATTGATGATGGTTAGATCAGCTCATTGCACAATTTATTGTATTACTTTCCCCCTCAGATTTGGTCAAAACAAAAGTGGCCGATGTATTTTATTGCTTGTTCAGATGACATTCTCCAGTTAAAATTACTAATTGAGTGAAAGTGTCTAGGCCAGTATCTACACCAGTGCAAATAACCACAATCGCGCATTTTCAAACTGAGACAGAACTCGCGGACTGCTGCTTTACAACTGACCTTATTGAGTTCAAATACAGTTGAAGTCAAAATTATTCGGCCTTCTGTGAATTTTTTTTAGTATTTTTTTTAAAAAATCTTTCCCAAATGATGTTTAACAGAGCAAGGAAATTATCATAGTATTACCTATAATATTCTTTCTTCTGGTGAAAATCTTATTTATTTATTTTTCCAGCTAGAATAAAAGCAGTTTGAATTTTATTTATAGTATTTTACGGTCAATATTATTATCCCCCTTAATCAATTTTTTTTTTTTCAGTATGTCTACAGAACAAACCATCGTTATACAGTGCCTTGCCTAATTACCCTAACCTGCCTAGGTAACCTAGTTAAGCCTCTAAATGTCACTTTAAGCTGTATAGAAGGGTAGAAATATCTAGTAAAACATTGTTTACTGTCATCATGGCAAAGATAAAATAAATCAGTTATAAGAAATGAGTTATTAAAACTAATATGATTAGATATGTGTTGAAAAAAATTGTTTGAGTTAAACAGAAAAAATATAAAGGGGTCTAATTAGTCAGCCTTCAACTGTGTGTACATTCTCTAACTGATTGTGGTTCACAATTGCACTGGTTTAAGTGATGATACATTTCTAGCATCATCTGTTCTGCTTCTTCCCATCAGGTTTCCCGTCAATAGAAGCTCCACCTCCACAGGAAGGAGTTGAGAAAGGCAGGAGTGGGACAGGAAGTGGGAATCCCATCAGAGATTTCATGTTGAAGTCTCCTGACCGCTCACCTAAAGATCCAGAGCACAGAGAGGATTCTCCACCAAATCATCCTCACAGGAGGCCTTTCTCAAAGGTAAATCGAGGTCTGCCAGTGAATATCTGCAGTCTCTCCATTCCAGCGTCTCATCTTATTGGCTTTCTTTCATTTCAGTTCAACGATATTTGGAAAGATGGACTGTTAAAACCAAAGGGGGAAGACAAAAGGGAGGATGGAGGTAATGCATCTTGTGCAGGTTTTCACAACAATTATACAAGTCTGAGAGCAGATATAGTTCTCAAAACCATTCAGTAGGTTTCCATTTAATTTTTTTGTTACAGATAAAGCTGATGGATTTGCTAATTATTGATTCAATTAAGCTAATTTGACAACCTTTTTCTTTAGCGGGGGATCTCTGTATATACTAAATATTCTAGATTACCTACTTAACGAAGGATAGCGCGCTACTTAACAAAGGGTAAATGCAAATTTAATTTAATAATGGGAAAATATAACATCTAATTTATGTTTATTTATATTGTATTATAAATAGTTTTTAAATATCATAAGATGATGAATGTCACATAAAAACGTAAATTAGCAGAAATTAATTTACAAACACTCTAATTTACATAAGGTAATCATCTGAGCATTGCTGTTATCATCTTACAGATGTTCCTTCAACAAATCTTTTGTTTTCTTGTTCTTGCCTCAGATCTGGACTCACAGGTGTCTTCAGGTGGACTGGACCAGATCTTGAAAGATCCAGCACCTTCACAGCCAAAAACAAGGTCATTTTTTAAGTCTGTCAGCGTCACCAAGGTGGTCCGACCGGATGGAGTGAGTGGATCATTTTGTCTTCAATACTATTTCTAAATACAATCATTGTAGAATTATATTTCAGGCTGTAAATATGCTCTGCATTTATGCTTATAATAACGGAGAGTGTGTGTGTCTCTGTCTGTCTGTCTGTCTGTCTGTGTAGACTGTAGAAGAACGGCGAACAGTCAGAGATGGAGAAGGTAATGAAGAGACGACCGTGACCATCTCAGAAAGGCCAGGTGGGCAAGATAGGCCAGTCCTGGATCAGTCTGGTCCTTTAATGCCAGGTTAGTGGTTTAATAATCTTTTTTTCTGTAAATAAAGATTATTAAGCTATAGATTATGTTTATTGTACTTTACTTAAACTCTATCCAATGTATTTATTTAATGTATGTTTATATAAAAATTTCATAAAAACAAAAAACAAAAAATGAATAGTTATAATTAGATGTGCAATGTTTGCATACATGTTTGCATACAGTTTATTATTTGAGTGTGGATTATTAAAATTATATATATATATATATATATATATATATATATATATATACAACAGTTCTGTCTGGTTCTCAAATCTGATTGGCTGATAGCCGTGCGATATTCTGCAATATCAGAACTCCTACAGCCTCTTTACCCTTTGTGTATTACTCCGCCCACATACAGCCAGCAAAAAGCAGACACTACAGATCTAAAGTTTAAAAGATGCACGCTCAACTGTTTAACTGTCAGCTTATGATTTGAATCCAGAAGAAAGTAGTTCCTCATACAAAAGGGTTTTTGAGACTCTCCTTGTTTGATTTTGTTTTTATATACACAATTATGCTGTCAAACTGTTGTATAAACGCAATATCACACTCGTAGCAGTGTGATATGGCTGTATATCGGCAGTGGTGTGGGCACAACGCACGGCTCCCACCAGTGCCGATATACAGCCATATCGCACTGCTACTCGTGTGATATTGCTCATATATATATATATATATATAATATATATATTTAAAAATATTTATTGTAATTGTAAAAATATTGTAATTTAAAGAAAGACAGAGACACAATTTAAGTAAACTGCTACTTAATAAAAAACAAGCAATTTTATGATTAGTTTTCTCCACCGCTGTTCCCCAAAAAGCTAAGATCTCAAAACCAAGGATCTTACTAAAAGTTATCTATGCGTATCATCCCCCCTTAGCATTAATGTTAATAAAATGTCTTCACATTTACATAAAGTCTTTTGCATTTACAGTATTTGTACATTAGACATATTTATTTGTAATCATTCAGTGATGTGTTTTCTGCATCTTTCAGGTGGTTCTGACATGCAGGATGATTTCTCCATGTTTTCCAAGTTCTTCAGAGGCTTTCGAAGTTAAAAGAGTTTTGGAACCAAAACCGAAGGACAATCTCTTTCCCGGCAAACCCACCACGATCACAATATTTCATTCTTAAGTATATTTGTGGAGATCCACAACATCAACATTGATCAAATATCACACAATGAACCTCAAAACTCTGCTGACTTTTTCATTTTTTATATAATTTCCATTAAAGATATGCAAATAATTATATAGACCGAACTTTGGGTTAGTTGGGTTTTGTTCAGAAATGACACTTTAATATATTTAAACATTTTATTTCAATAGGTGTAAATAAAAAAACTAAATGAAGTCTGCCTTACGGTCTCATGAATTGTTTTCAGGAACATCTAAATGTGGAAGCTGGCATATTTTCTGTATCTGAAGAGCACTAATTTAAGCAAACAGCTCTTTTTATTGGATAAATAGAGCAAACGCAGTACATTGTATTTTTAAGTGATTCTAAATGTAAGAGAGCTGCTCGTTTTGACAGCTGCTTAGCATTCTGAGGTCAAGTCAGTAGTAGCAGCTCATCAAAATTTAGTAAAGTAAGCTAGCAACTAAAACTAAGGGAAAACAATAATTATAGGATGGATTTGGAGTTGGATTCTTGTGTTTCTCATGTATTCTTGTAAACTGACAGTCTGAAATCTGCATTCACTTATATAGTAGGTACACGGTCAACTTAAAAATGGAGGAAGAAAGATCATTTAAAGGGATAGTTCGCCAAAAAAAAAAAAATACTCACAATTTATTCACTTTCAATCTGTTCCAAACCTTTATAATTTTCTTCACAAGAGAAGATATTTTGAAGAAAGCTGAAACCACTGACTACCAAAGTAGATAAAAACAAATATCATGCAATTCAGTGGTTACAGGTTTGCTGTATTCTTTAAAATGTTTTCTTTTAAACGGGTTTTTAACTAGTGAAGAGCAAGTAAATAATAGCCCCTTTCACACAGTGATACCGGTAAATATCTGGAAAATTTCCGGAACGACTTTACCGGTATATTCAAAAAAGCGCTGTTCACACAGGCGAGGATGTTACGGAAATTTTCCGGAAAAGAGCATTCACACATCCATTCCAAAATACCGGTAAATTCTGACATCATTCACCACAAATGAGCTTTAAACGGCTGCGCTTGTATTTGTAAACATTTGACTAAATTACAAACTCTGTGGATGATCAATATTGTGAACAACTTTCGCAGGATCACTTTCGCATGTCGAGATGTTCATAATATGTGCATGTGCAGGTTGCTCAACACTGTTGCTCAAACTATGCATCTAAATTTACTTTAACGCGAATACAAACATCTATTTCACAAGAAAAGTGTCTCGTGACCACTTACGAAATCCATCGCTGCTCTGGATCTGCTGGTTTATATTGTTGAATGATTCTTGCCGAGACTGATTGGTGCAATTATGGATGAACCCCTATAATGTATATTTGTATTATCTATTATTTTCATTTATTCATTCATTTTCTTGTCGGCTTAGTCCCTTTATTAATCCGGGGTCGCCACACAGAATAAACCTGCCAACCTGCCATGTTGCACGCAAAGCTTGAAGGTAAACAAACAACGGCTTATCATAAGCATCTCATCGATGATTATTTACACAGTTGGCATTAAGAAGAACATATAAACGTGATCTGACTAACTTCTAGCAGCTAAATGCGTCTGGGAAAATATTCAAAGGCTTTTATCCTCACAAACCCAGCGGACGTAAATGCGTCTGACTGTTGTGATTGGCTAAAGCAGACGTCTCACGTCAGCACGTTCTAGACGTGCACGTGCTTATTACGGCAATCTTCCTGCTGCATTCACACAGCGCAGCCTTCCGGCAAATTACCGGTAATGTTACAACTTCTCTTTCCAGAAAATAGCCAGAACGAATTTACCGGTATTTTCAAAAAGGACCTGTTCACACATACAACCTTTCCAGGAAAATTGCCGGCAATTTTCCGGAAAGGTCTGTATGTGTGAAATGGGGCTATAGACAGAATTTTCAGTTTTGGGTGAACTATCCCTTTAACACTGGTGTCCTAAACTATGTGTGCCTGGGCTACCTTGCAGACCAGCTCAGCACTAAAAGTACAAGATTTTTCCTTGTTACAAAAATATCATGTTTCAGGCTAATATAAAAGATAAAGCATTATAAAATAATGTGATATTGTTTTGAATGAGGTAAACATACAATTGTAGAGTTGTTATTGTTTATTCTTCATTAAAAACAAAGCATTAACTTTGGTGTAAAGTATCCTACATTTGGTTTTTAATCCTTAAAGAGCTGTATAATTGTACAGTTTAGAAACAAAGTATGCCATTAGGATTCCTGGCATATAGGAGCTACATTTATTAGCTTTTTGAGAACACAAAAGAAGACATTTTGAAGAAACCTGTATCCTGACTTCCATAGTAGAAAAAGAAAATAGTATTGAAATCAATGGTTTCCTGCTGTCTTCAAATGTTTACTTGTATAGTCATCAAGAAATAGTCAAACGTGTTTTGAACAAGTGAAAGTTGAGTAAATGATGGCAGAATTATCATTTTTGGGTGAACTATCCCTTTAACAGGCAGCAGAGTTTGTAAACGCTTGGGGTTATGTTTGTATTACACCTATGATTTATGTTATGTATGGTTTGCTTGTGATTGCACCAAATAAGATCTTTATCTAGTGACATCAGATCAGACATCAGTGAATGAAGTCAGCTTTATGGAGATTGACTTTATTCTCAGTTATCTAGTTATTATCTTCTTAGTTGATAACCTAAGAAGCAAGCCCTACAGATACAAGATCACCGGAAATATGCTCAACATTGTTGGCTGTTGTTGAGTCTTACTATCATGGAATCACAGAAGTGATCAGAGACATCGAGGGAACGTTTCTGATGTCAACTAGTGTAGCTTTATTAAGAAATATGATAGGGCCAAAATAAATTAAATGACGTTGAATTATTTACTTTTTTGGTGAAGTTTAAAAAATTGTTAGGTTGATTCAGCTTACATCTGACTCGCATGAACCTAACCATTAGGGTACTTTTTATTATTTTAAATAAATTTGTAGCTAATTTTAAAAAATGAATGTTTTGGGTATAATGAAAATTATACCCAATAAATGAAAATAATATTAACATTTGTGATGTATTTTTACGTTTTAATCTCCACCAAAAATGTGAAATCTAAAAATGAAAATATACAAATTATACTACACGTTTTGATGTTAGGTGTAGATTTTGTGATTAAAGTACAGTATATACACTCAAAAACATTATTAGCAATTTTTTAAAACTACATCAAAATGAGCTAAAACACATTTTTTAATTATTATTATTTTAAATAAATTTGTAGCTAATTGACCATTTTTGGATAATTTTTAGTGTATAACGTGCATAAAATATATAAAACGTTAACAATGGTTTTCTTTTTAGTATGTATATATTTTTTATGCAGCTTAAAGTTTACTCACATGGGCAAATCTAACCATTGGGGTATATTTTTACAATGATTTTAAATGTGTAGCTAACTCACCCAAGTTTGTCAAAAATAAAATGTTTAGAATGTATAAAGTGTATAATACATATAAAGCATCATGCAATAGTTTTCTTTTTAGCATGTATTTATGTTTTATATTCAGTTTTGTTTAAAATTAGTCAACTATTACACCTAAATGAATTGCTCTTGAAAGTATTTTGCATGATTTATGATTTATTTTAGAGACAGTTCACCTAAAAAAAAAAAGATAATATTTTTTTTACTCATCATCCTCCACTTGTTTCAAACCTGCTTGAGTTTCCCAAAGGAAGATATACTGAAGAATGTTGGTGGAAAAACTTGACTTTGATAGCATGTTTGAAAACCGTTGACTTTGATAGCATGTTATGGATGTCAAGAGGGTGTGAATTACAAGGGGAGTTGGGGGGGATTGACCCCCCTGATTAACACTCAATCCCCCCTGAAGGGCGTCAAAAGAAGATGTATGGGCGGATTAGCCTTTAAATAGTGAGAAATAGTTTTCCATGATTTGTATATTAAATAATAATATCAATATTTAAAATAATAGATAGGGGCGACGCAGTAGGTAGTGCTGTCACAGCGAGAAGGTCGCTGGTTCGATGGTACAGGTGAATTGGGTAGGCTAAATTGTCCGTAGTTTATGAGTGTGTGTAAATGAATGTGTGTGTGGATGTTTCCCAGAGATGGGTTGCAGCTGTAAGGGCATCCGCTGCGTAAAAGCGTGCTGGATAAGTTGACAGGTTTATTCTACTGTGGCGACCCCGGATTAATAAAGGGACTAAGCCGACAAGAAAATGAATGAATAAATGAAAATAATAGATAATACAAATATACATTATAGGGGTTCATCCATAATTGCACCAATCAGTCTCTGCAAGAATCATTCAACAATATAAACCTGCAGATCCAGAGCAGCGATGGTTTTGTAAGTGGTCACGAGACACTTTTCTTGTGAAATTGGTGTTTTATATTCAAGTTAAAGTAAATTTAGATGCATAGTTTGAGCTATAGTAAGCTGATATAATCAGAGGTTACTGTACATCAGAATGCATTAAATATCACTCAAAACACTGAAAACTTAAACACGTCTTATTCATTCATTTGATGTCATTTAAATAAATAAATTTGATAACCTACCAAAAAAGTAGATCCCCATGATTGCCAATGTATAACTCGGACCCTGCATGTCAATAGCTGTTTTTTTCTGAACATTCTTCAGAATTTCTTCCTTATCTTGTTTCAATGTTAGATGTAAATTCATAAAAGATTAGAACCAGTTTAGTGTGAGTAAACAAGGGATTTTTTTAGTTTTGGGTGAACTGTGCCTTTAAGCTGTGTTTTCCAGTATAATTTGTCAAAAAAAAAAACTTTTTTTTTTTTTTTTTTTTTAAAGTGAAGAGTGAAATATTTCTGCACATAGTCCTGTATATGCCAACAGTGCATCACAGATAAAGGTTAACAATAAACTGCTCATCGTTTTATGACACAAAAGGGCAATGTACTACCTGTAATGGTCTATCCTTCCCCTGACAGACACATAAAACACACTTTAACCACAACAGACACTCTGAGTTTACTCGTGTGCTGTGATAATGAGTTCTTCTGGATGAGCATGTTTTCATTACAGAGCTTCTCCATAATCTAATGAATCTGGCATTTACTTCACTGTAAACAGAAGAAAGTGCAGTGATGGACCGTCTGCTGAGGAGATACCGAATCAAGAGTCGTCTGCCCAGAGAATGTTTGGCGGAGTTTTTTGGAGTCTATGTTTTAATAGTAAGTCAAAAATCTTAACAATTGCATTTGCATCATGAACATGTGCTACATGAACTGAGGCTTAAATTTATGAATGTTTGGAGATTCGTATTATGTTATTTGGGAACTTTAACAATTAGGTTAAATGAACTAACAATGAAACACTCCACTTACTGCTTGCTCAAACTGCTTATTTAAATGAGCTGAATCAAAACAATTCTTGATTTCTTTGGAACAACTGAATTATTTTATATTCAATCCACTTAAATTTGTAAAAACAATCAAGTTAACACAATCAATTTGGAAACTGAGTGGATTTTTTTTTACAGTCTACAATATTTAATAATCTTAGTTAATGTTAATGATGGTTAATAAACATACGACTTTTAATTATTCATGTTATTAATTTTACTGTCAATTAGTAAATAGTAAAATTGATAAATCTGGGTAGTAAAATTAAGAAATGGTAACAAATGAAGTGTGTGTGTTTATACATTGTCAATTGATTATAATTGGCAAATTAATAGCACATTCTAATTGATTAATTCATTACACATCATGATTAATGTAGAAACTAATATTAATGTTTATTTAATAATGAAAATTAATGTGTTTGGTATAATGAAAATTATACCCAATAAATTAAAATAATATTAACATTTGTAATGTATTTTTACGTTTTAATCTCCACCAAAAATGTGAAATCTAAAAATGAAAATATACAAATTATACTACACGTTTTGATGTTAGGTGTAGATTTTGTGATTGAAGTACAGTATATACACTCAAAAACATTATTAGCAATTTTTTAAACTACTTGTTTTGGGGGGGGGGGGGGGTAACTTAATAGTTTTAATCCACTTCAATTTGTAAAAACATTTAAGTTGCGACAACATTAGGTAATTAGTGTGGAACCCAGCATTTTTTTTTTTTTACAGTGTATTAAATATTTGTTATAGGGACCTTCCACCCGCCCCTTAAAAATCTTTTTTCCTTACTAGTAATTATAGTTTCACAAAATTAAAGCATAATTTAAAGACCATACACACCCCATTTTGAAAATGAATATTATATAGATACTTTTCACAAAACTAAATATTTTATTAAACGATTATATTGATTAAAATAAGAGTTTGGTCACCTAACATTTTTACGAATGGAAATATAAACTAAATTCGATATATGTTTTTGTTTCTCCAGGTTCTTCCTCTTGGTTACACTTTATTTTATGTTTCATTACCTACTATGAACGTACATTTCAATTAATAATTGCACTTTGTATATACAGTACATACATTGTACTTATATTTTGCAATTATTGGCATGCAATTGCATCTGTAATTAATTTTTGTACGTATACATTTATAATTACATTGTGGACCCATCCTTTAAACCTTGACCAACCCTTAAACCTACATACCACCAAACCTGTCCCTAACCCTACCTGTTTACAAGCTTAATAGTCTTCTGCAATACAATATGAGCACATCAAGTGCATTGTACTTAATTTTAGATGTGAGTAGTAGTTAATATAACTCTAAATAAAGTGTAAAGAAGGTCTGCACTGTAAAAAAGCCAAGACAACAAATATTTGTGTTGCTTTAACCTTTTTTTAATAAGTTAATCAGGTTGCAACTTAATTCTTAATATTATTAGTAAGTTGAGATGACTAGAAAAGTCAATTTGATTCAACTAAAAAAAATCAGGCAGCAAGAATTTTGTTTACAGGTTTCAAGAATCACTAAAGATGTGTAATTTCAAATAAAACTGAAAAAGCACTTATAAGAAAGTATAAATCATAATCATAATAGTCCATTAAGGAGCTCGTTTATGGAGCTCAAGCCTGTTTGAAGACTTTGAACTGCTTAATCTTTTCCACCGCTTCACTGGAAATACAATTAACAGCATCTCATACTGCCATAAACCTTCTCACTATAGACACTGTGTCTTCTTCATATGGATACACATGATTAATTCTCATATTTGTTGCTTATATAATATTGCTGCCTCCACACTGAAGCTGTTCGGGTGTGGATCAGTGGCTCAGGTCACCACCTCTCAGAATACCAAGGGAGAGTACCTGTCAATCAACCTGGGCTTCGCACTGGGAACCACATTTGGCATCTACATTGCAAAAGGAGTGTCAGGTAGGAACTAATAGAGTTCTATATTATATCATTAAGACATCAATTAAAGCATATCATTCATAAATTGAGCTGAAATAGCTTTTAAATAACGTAGCCAGTTAATTTTCTAAGTAACGTTAGATCCGCGACGGTTTACCTAATACAATGCACGTGACTGAGCACTGAGCAGATATTTGTCTCGTGTTTTAGGAGCTCACCTGAATCCAGCGGTTTCCGTCAGTTTGTGTGTTTTGGGCAGGTTTTCGTGGACTCGTCTTCCTTTCTACGTGTGTTCGCAGCTCTTCGGTGCATTTCTGGCTGCAGCAACGGTTGCCCTGCAGTATTATGGTGAGTGGAGATTAATCCTTGAGGTGGCCGATACAGAAATAAAGCCGCAAGAGCTGAGGGAGGGGGTAACTTGAGACACGTCAATCATCTTGCATGTGCGTCTTGTTTGTTTTCTTTGTCGCACATTTTACAACCAAGTGTTCACAGAAAGACGAAGACAGACTTAAAATCCAATTGATGAATAATATGGTCAACATCAACGGGGAACTCCCACATTTACCACCCCCTTTCTGCCAGCAACAGGTGCTTTAAGGGGACCTATTATGCAAAAATCACTTTTATAAGCGGTTTAAACACAGTTGTTTGGCAACAGTTTGTGAATATGCATCTTTTTGGTTAACAATTTGGTTTGCATCTTATGGTTAACAATAATTATTTCTATTTTTTAAATTATCACAATTCATAAAAACAGTATGTAGAAACACTTTGATTGACATTCTCTGCTTGTACTGTCATCAAAGGGGGAAACCCCGCCCATTAGTGACGATCTTTCCCTCATTAGCATAGACAGCCCTGAGTGAGAAGCAGCTGTCTGCTGTTAGAGTTTTGATCCGCTTCTATGCTGACACACAGGCATTTGTAGCTTTTGAAAAGAGGAAACACAATCTCGTTTGAATTTAAAACGACCCTCAGCAAAACAACACAGTTTGGATCAAAGCCTAAAAGTTATTTGTGTGGTATTTTGAGATTAAACTTCATAGACACTGTAGTGACATCAGAGAGTTATTTTACATCTTAGGGTGCTTTCACATTTGGTTCATTTGGCTGGACCTTACCCAAGTTCGACTGTACCCCCTATAGCCACCTTCTCGGTTAGTTTGTGTTTACACTGTCTTTTTTCCTTCTGAACGCTTGTGTTATCGAGCAGCTGTTTTGTTTATATGGAAGGCCAATGCTAGGTGACGGTCACGAAAGCAAATCGCTAAAATGGAAAGACTTCCGCTAATCCCTGTCGATTTGCTTTTACTGAAGCTTTTAGTTTTGGACATACAGAAAGCGATACACGTCCATCTGTTGCTGCTGCTGCTGCAAAAAAAAAAACATTATAAACATGCAGAAACTGTTTTTGGAGGATACAAGCAGACATGACTGTGTTTGCCATGGCTCAGTCCTGCTTGTCACCTAGGTACAGTATGTGATACACACACACGAATGAACGTTATAAAAACGATAGTTTGTTGTACAGTCGGCGGTTCACTTCAGTTATTTGGTACGATTGCATTCATACCAGAAGTGAACCGGACCAGAGTTTGCATGAATTGCACCCCAGACCACCTCTTTCAGGCGGAATCAGGTACGGTTCATGGGTGCGCACTTGAGTTCAGAAGACACGTATACACCAGCTAAACATACCGTACTATGACGTCAAACGAACCCGGGTGCGGACCAAAAGTGCTAGTGCGAAAGCACCCTTATAAAAAGAGGCCTAATAGGTCCCCTTTAACTCACAATCAATGACTCTCACGTTTTCCCCTGGCCACATGACATTAAATATTTACATGGCTCCTATAATTCTGCTTATCTCATATGCAATCTATATATAAAAAACAAATGTTTCTATTGATATGTGTTTGTTGACAGACGCCATAATGGATTTCACTGGAGGGCATCTGACAGTCAGTGGTGCCACGGCTACAGCGGGCATCTTCTCAACTTATCCAGCAGATTATCTGAGTCTGTGGGGAGGAGTGGTAGACCAGGTCAGTAATGGACTGAACATGCATTTGTAAAATGAATGATGTAAAAATGTAAAAGAGGAAGTGTAAAATATAAACATACTAAATGAAAATTACCAATTTGTCTCTGCTGTGTTTACGAGACAAACCCCTTTATTTTTGTTAATTAATTAATTTATTTTCCCAAATATTGCTTAGCGCATCTTTAATTGGTTAAAGGAATAGTTCCAATAAAAAAAAAACTGAAGTCAATGGCTCTATTCTTCCAACATTCTTCATTATATCTTCCTTTGTGTTCAACGCATTTTTTAAATTAACTTCAGCCATAAAAAGAAACTCAAACAGGTTTGAAACAAGTGGAGGATGAGTATGATGACTTAATTTGCCTGCAGCCGGCAGCTAGCTCTCTGCAACTCTCACGTGGTCGCCCACTGAAGCTAAGCAGGACTGCGCCTGGTCAGTACCTGGATGGGAGACCACATGGAAAAGCTAAGTTGCTGCCGGAAGTGGTGTTAGTGAGGCCAGCAGGGGGTGCCCAACCTGCGGTCTGTGTGGATCCTAATGCCCCAGTATAGTGACGGGGACGCTATACTGCTCAGTGAGCGACGTCTTTCGGATGAGACGTTAAACCGAGGTCCCGAAACTCTGTGGTCGTTTAAAATCCCAGGATGTCCTTTGAAAAGAGTAGGGGTTTATCCCCGGCATTAAAATCTGCCCACTGTCCATCATGGCCTCCTAACCATCCCCATATTCAATTGGTTTCATCACTGTCTCCTCTCCACCAATCAGCTGGTGTGTGGTGTGTGGCCTGGCGCAAAATGGCTGCCATCGCGTCATCCAGGTGGATGCTGCACACTGGAGGTGGATGAGGAGATCCCCCCATTGTGTAAAGTGCTTTGAGTGTCCAGAAAAGCGCTATATAAATGTAAGGAATTATTATTAATTTGAACAGGCATTAAAGGAATAGTTCAACCAAGCTGAACATTCTGCCGTCATTTACTTAAACCTCAGTTGTCACAAACAACCGGTTTAAGTTTCTTTTTTCGGTGTTGGCGTAGTGGTTCTATAGTAGTTGTTTTTTCTAACCTAATGGTTGCAGGTTAATACATTATTCAAACTATCTTTTTTTGCATTCTACAGAAAAAGAAAACTCATAAAAATGACAACTTTTGGGTGAACTATCCCTTTAAGATTTAGTCTTTCATTCATAAAACATTTAGAGTTATACTTTCATACAATTAGTCAAGATAATAATAAATAACATACATTTTAGTCGCAATGGATCACACTTATAGTCTTTTCTGAAGTGGATATTGTCATAAGTAAATGGGAAAATCCACCAATAGCGAAACATCTTTTTAAATTAGAACGACATTAGAACGATTATGAAGATTAAAAGAGAGATTGAACAATGTATTCAGTTTTGAAATGAACAAATGCCTGTTCTGCAGATCATTGGCACGGCTGCTCTGCTGGTGTGTGTTCTTGCATTGGGAGATGCTCATAACACACCTGCACCTGCAGGTCTGGAGCCTGTGCTTGTCGGAGCCGCCGTGCTGGTGATCGGGATCTCCATGGGGTCTAACAGCGGATATGCCATCAATCCAGCCAGAGACTTCGGCCCAAGACTCTTCTCCTACATCGCAGGCTGGGGAGACGAGGTGTTCAGGTCAGTCGAACATTCCAACTTCTTACTTACAAGCTACTTTATAAGGTAGACAACTGACATGCGCTCAGTTTTGATATACAAAGATGTAGTTTTGATATAAAAAGGTAATTTAATTCTTTGATTGTTGTTGTGTCAGGGCTGGACATGGATGGTGGTGGGTGCCTATAATCGTAACGTGTGTCGGGGCTCTTCTGGGATCATTACTGTACGAGCTGCTGATTGGAGTTCATCATCCTGACTCAGAGGCAGTGGATCATGAAGACCCGACAGCGGCGCTCCAGCAAACTGTCGAGATGGAGGGTGCGCAGAGTTTTGACACCATTAAAGAAAACAAAAAGAGCGGGATCTTTTCTATAACCTCAGCAGACGTAGGGTAAAGTGAAAGAGAGTATATTAAACGTCTTTTGGAACCTAAATTGTTACCGTTTACATTGAGTGCATTTACAAATTATCGTGATAATGCTCATGCTTTAAAAATAATCTTCAATTCTATTAACTGGGAGAGCTCATTCATTCATTTTCCTTCAGATTAGTCCCTTATTTATCAGGGGTTGCCACAGCGGATTGAACCGCCAACTATTCCAGCATATGTTTTACACAGCGGATGCCCTTCCATCCACACCCAGTACTGGAAAACACCCATACACTCTCATACTCATACACTACAGCCAATTTTGTTTATTCAATTCAGTTTACCTCACACCAACACGGGAAGAACGTGCAAACTTTTAGCTTTTTTTAGCGACCATCTGGCTGTGAGGTGATAGTTCTAACCACTGAGTCACCGGGTGAACTCATTGTCTTTAAAATAGGTCTTAAAATTTTTTTGTACTATTTATATAATGGCCAGTTTACACTCTCAGAAATAAAGGTACAGGAGCTGTCCTTTGGGCAGTACCTTTTTAAAAGATACATATTTGTACCCAAATAATCCAAAGTGGTACCTAAAAGGTGCGTATTATACCCAAATGTACCTAAAAAAGTACCTTTATGCCAATATGGACCCTTCAGTTACAAATATGTAGCTTTTGAAAAGGTACTGCCCCAGGGACAGCTCCTGTACCTTTATTTCTGAGAGTGAGTAGAATTGGTTTAAATTCACAGTTGTTAACATCTTGATGAAATTCTGATGAAAAATTTGATGAAAGATGTTGTAGGTATGCAAGTTGTATATTATCCAATGTACACATTTCTAGGAATTGTGCAGTTCATTCTTATATTGTATTTTCAAAAAGTTTTGCAATATTTGTCCTCACCCCAAAATTGTCACTACAACATTTTCTAATTTAATAAGAGATGTATTGATCTATTAAGATTTTGTTTACATCTATATTCTAAATCTATTTTTGTTATTTTAACAGTAACAATTAAATTCTTAACATCATATAAATAGTAATTTATGAGATTTGTTTTATTTTTAATCCATTGTTTTTTTTGTAAAAGGCATAAAGTTGATGATGTCAAAGCTAAAGATTCATTAGTTTGACAGTAAATCAAAAGTAAACGCTATTAAAACCTCTTGGTTGATAATTCTGTATGTTTTATTTTTGACATATTGAGGTAAAGTTTCAGGTGTGACCACAACATTTTCAATCTGAATCAGATTGTCAACATTTTGTGCTAATATAAATTTCTATGATGTTGAAATTCAGCAAGCATATTTGCCAGACACATATCTGACAGTAAATATCTGGTAAGAACACATAAACAGTTCACTTTTTGATATCTTTTTACAGTGGAAATGAACATAAAAGCATACCGACCCGTACCATACCGTACTAAATACAATTATTAGTTATTAGAGTTATTATTAGAGTTATTTAATACTGTCTTCAAGTCAGAAGTATGCACAATGCAGACAAGTCAAAAAAGTGAGCTTACACTCAATAAAATGACTGACAAAATAATATGATTTGTCATATCATTAAAACAACAATTCTGATGATGTCACACACAATTTGTATTGCGTAATACCCCTAGTGCCCCCAAATAAAGCTTAGTAAACACTTTACCCACAAGTTTCGGTAGTGACATTTTATTTACTTCTGAGCCTATAGCTAAAAGATGCTAATCAGCACATGTAAGCATGCACAGTTTTGAACTTTTTTTATAAAAACTCCAGAAAAACTGCAAGAAAAAAAAAGTTTGTGAATGTGTGAAAGTTTGTGTGTGAATGCTTAAAGTTACAAACAGATTTTCAGAATTTATGACAGATTTTCCTCAAAATGACTGGAGAATCTACTTACCATGTAGCTTTTCGAAAGAGGGACACAGGATTAATGCCTGATCAAAATTGCAGGGGATGATTACAAACAGTCACAGCCAACAGCTGTGAAATACACAGTTTCGGTAATTACATGAAAACAAGAAAATCTAAAATATTTTAATATTTTAATTAAAATGATAATAAACCAATATATTATTATTTCCCATAAATTAAACCATTCATTTTCTTTTCGGCTTAGTCCCTTTATTAATCTGGGGTCGCCACAGCAGAATGAACCGAGAACTTATCCAGCATATGTTTTACGCAGCGGATGCACTTATAGCTGCAGCTTATTATTGGGAAACGTCCATACACACTCATTCACACACATACACTACAGACAATTTAACTTACCTAATTCACCTATACCACATGTCTTGGGACTCTTGGGGAACCGGAGGAAACCCACGCGAATTCGGGGAGAACATGCAAACTCCACACAGAAATGCCAACTGACCTAGCCGAGGCTCAAACAAGCGAACTTTTTGCTGTGAGGTGAACGTGCTACCCACGGCACCACCGTGCAGCCCTTACATTAAACCACTGATATTTTAAATATGGCCAAATTTGCCAAACAGCCTCTGTACATCATGGCCTCCAACCCACCCTTCATCACTAGCTGCATCCCAAATGGCACACTATATAATATATACTATGTACTTGTGCACTTACACACTTAACAGCACAGTGTATGTATGCAGTGTTGTCCCAAATAAAGCACTAATGTTTTTTTTTTTTAACTAAGCGGAAATTTGAACCGTTTCCCTGATAACGTTTGCTAAATCAGAGAAATAAATGACTAAACTATCAAATAAAACCTGCCACGAGTATAACCGCATTCACCATCTGGAGGCGCTATAATCACTCTCGTAGGAGAATTTTGCTTCACCATCCAAAATAAAGTAATCCAACGTATGCGCCCGATAGCTCCGCCCCTTCCACCACGTGAGCAAACCTGCGGTCGGTGTGTGAAGTGTCCATCATTACACACCACTTTACCAGCTGAATGAGTGCACTTATTAGTCTTAGAGTTTTCAGTGTGAACGCACTACTTACACTATTTATACTACAAAATGGCGTAGAATAGTGCATAAGTATGTGATTTTGGACACACCTACTGTCTCCTCTCCGCCAATCAGCTGGTGTGCGCTCTGGCGCAATATGGCTGCCTTTGTGTCATCCAAGTGGATGAGATTCCCCAAAATTGTGAAAAGTGCTTCGATCGAGTGTCCAGAAAACTGCTATATAAATGTAAGGAATTATTTTTATATAAAGAATAATTAAGGACACAAAAATCTTTACCGTACCAATTTTACCATTTTATTTAGAAAGAGAACTGACACAGATGTACGGCAGTGAAACAGGCAGGTCATCACAGAATAAGATGGCTGTCTATAGACTGTCTATGTATGGGACATATACATATATTACTGAAGGTATAGAAAGTCACACTCACACATAATTCACACGATCACAATATTATTTTGTTTAAGAAATGTGGTTTTCAACGAGCACAGTACATCCTGATAGAAAAGACTCTTATCAAAGAAAAAAAAAATACACAAACGACATTCATATTTGTACACAATTTATCATAAAACACAAGCAATCCTTCAAACTCAGTGTCGATTCTGGATTCAGACAAAGTCATGAAAATTACATCTGTCTCCGAACGCAAGCTTTCACTAGCAGTATTTCAATATCCACCTTTAGCTAATAATAAAAATTACAAAGACTCAACGTGTTCACATTTCCAATGCAACAACCATATCAAAGTGATGTACTGCATTTATACACATAGAAAATGTGCTCGAGTGTATATCTGTGACTGAAATGAATCCATGTTTACTTATATTGACCTTTCATGACTTTAACTTTACAATCCATATTTGACCTCTGCTGTACATCTCCTCACAGACACGACAAACGCTCCATTCACTTGTTGTTTAAGTTCTCAGTGATTATCAAAAGACCGATGAATGCTTCAATATAAATAAATATCAGTACTACAATGTCTGTACAATAGTTACATTTAAAAGTCAGTGTTTTCCTTTATTCGTAAAAAAACAAACCCTTCACTAGCACCCTTTTTGCTTTAATGTTCGTGTGGATGTCGCAAAAAGCCCGGCAGACGCCAAACTGCTTTAGTAGTTTTCAAGCAAGACGAACGAATCTTAGATACATACTTGACCTAAAATGAAAAAGTTTGGGATATTACAAAGAGAGAGCAAGTATCTTTTAATATCTGTGTGTTTCCGGAAGACAGGTCACCTTACGATCATAACAACGTTACGTTTTTTTCGAATTAATTGCAATAAACTTAGTCCCATTTTTCAATGGCTTTTCCTATTTTATTTCCTCCTCTCGTTCTACAAGGGCTTGTCGGTCCTGTGTGCTGTGATGAAGGCCATGCCGTGCGTGCGGAAGTGTGTGTTAAGGTCCGAGGCTTTATCGAAGCGTCGCCCACACACCCTACAGCTGACCCCTCCATCCCCATCCTCGCCCGCTTTCGGTGAGGACGGGGATCCATACTGCGGTGATGCACCAGGCGATGCGTTTCTGTCATGTTGACCTTGGCGTAAGCGGTGCGTGATGAATTTATGTCGGCTGAGGGACCCGGCTGACGCGAAACAGGCTCCGCACTGCAGGCACTGCTGGGGCGCGTTCTCTGCGTCACAGTGGACGGGAATGTGCCTCTGAAACTCTTCCCAATCCTGTGTGGTGAAGCCGCAGGGTGTGCAGCGGAATGTCCCGTCCTCTTCCTCCTGCTCCACTGGACGGTTTTCAGACGCTCGCGTTCTCTTAGCTGGACCCGAGGTGTCCTCTCCGGGGACGTCATCGGTGTCGGTGCCGCCCCCTGCTGGTGGAGCTCCGCTCTCATTGTCGAGCTCTGATGAACTGCCGGCTCCGTCAGCTGGAAGAGAGCGCTTTCTAGTGTTCGGAGCGTTCTGCGAGAGGAGATTCAAATGAATATGTGAACTGTTACGTACCAAAATAAACATTCTGAGATGAAAAAGACAATTCTGAATGCACTTGGCTGAAAAAGAATACTAAAAATGCTTGGTGATAATTATTTATTATTTTATTCAATAATAAGAAGTAGTTTTGTAAGACTTTTTAAAAAATTTTTATAATTATTTTTTCGGGGTTTTCACCTTTATTTTTGATAGGACAGTATAGATAATTGACAGGAAAGCATGGGGAGCAGAGAGAGGGGAAGGATCGGCATAGGACCGCGAGGCGGAATCGAACCCGGGTCGCCGCAAGCACCGGAGTTCATGTGTCAATGCACTAACCACTACACCACTAGCACCGACAAGACTTTTTAAATTTAACTCAAATTATACAGATAAAAAAAAACACAAGCAAACAACAACTATTTACTGACAGTGAACAAGTTGAGAGGTGTCACTTTACCCATGATAGCACAGTAGCCTTATTGCAAGCAGCAGGAACAAGTATATTAGATATAAATGTCCTGTTGGTACGCTACCTGATTGTTTTTCTGATGGTTCTGTGGGTCTCATCTATCAAATCTGATCTTTATTTTTTATTCTCTATTGGATTCAAGTCAGGTGATTGGCTGGGCCATTCTACAGCTTGATTTTCTTTCTCTGAAAGCATTTCAGAGTTTCCTTGGCTGTGTTTTGGATCATTGTCTTGCTGAAATGTCCAGCCAGGTTTCATCTTCATCGTCCTGCTAATGTA